TAAAAAAAATAAACAAAATAAAATTTACTGTATCTATGTACATATGAAACAGAAAACCGTAGCATTTTACATCTTAATTCTTGTGTCCAATACAATACAATTTGTTCCCCTAGAGAAAAAGATTATTTTCGTTTCTGTGAAAGCCATCAGCAATTTTTAGAATATCAAGCAGATATTTTTTTAATTGAAATTGCCTTGTGAAGCACTTGTCCCTGGTGTGAATAGGGTTTTCTATCTCAGTTACTAGACAATGGCCTCTTTGTTGTAAAACTATATATCTTATGGGATTGTCAATGTGGTCACAAGAGCCTGGGGTGGGGTCATAATGGATGAACAATGAATGTTTTCCTTGCTATTTATTTATCCACATCGCACCACTTTGGCAAGGATCTGAAAGGAAGCCATTTAAAGTTACAAGGTTATACACCCACCTCTGAATTTTGTATCCAGTTTTTGGCCTCCAGAGTACATGCCCAACAACTTCAGACCAACTTCATAGAGTTTATGGCTTCAATGGATTTGTGTTACTAACATCAGAGGTGATAATGCTTTTATTTTAATTTATTTTATTTTTCTGTATTTTTAAAGTGTTTTTAGGTGACTGTGTCATGGGGTAGACAGTAATAGTCTTCACACTAAAAGTCAATGTCAAATGAGGTCAATGAAGTGTAAATTCTGTTCCTCCTACTGGTCGAGAAGTGGGGACCCATTCTAACATCTTATAATAATAGTATCATTTATTAATGATAGAATGATTTACAGTGTCTTTTTTTTGTACATGAAACCTGATCCTTTGCAATTGGTTCGAATATGGTGTGTTAATAATTACATCATGATTTGTAAGACCAGTCTTTGAGAATTAGTGCATTGATCATGATCAACTAGCCATTTGTCTCCACACGTTTCCTCAAAGTGGCAATGGCTGTAAGACTCCATTTGTTATTGCCACTTTGATTTCTCATACACACACTCTCACATATACATTAAACATAGAAATTAGAGACAATATCGAGAAGAAAATACAAAGATATCAAGAAACAATGCTGGATTTGAATGCAATTCCTTGCACAGGATAAATCCGGTGAAAAGAGAAAAATAAAAGGTTGTCTTCTTATTCGCAAAGTTTCAGTTCACCACTTTCAATCTAAAATAAGAGACAAGGAGAAAAAAGAAAAACAAGACCTGAAACAAACAGAAAACAAAAATAAACAAAACACTAACAATACATCACCAGTATGAGAATATTCATAAAAAAGGAATATTTTTCTTTTGCAAAGATTCCATGCCTGTTAGCCACTACCCATACAAGTAAAGGTGGCGCAATGCGTAATCTATCAGAATTTCAACCTTAAAATTTCACTGATACTTCATCAAGAGATTCCACACCGATGCTCTATCAGAACCTCCAGAGCACTGACACTCTATCAGAAGATTCCAAGCAGATACTATATCAGGAACACCCAAGTTGATGCACTACCAAAACCCCACAAGCAGATACACTACCAGAGCCTCTATCAATGCGATAATCTAATGCACTGTTCTAAACAGACGCTCTACCAGAACAGCCCACGGTGGTACCCTATCAGAATTCAGTACCAGTAGAATACTCCCGGTCCTACACCCGTGGAATGGGTGGGGGTGGTGGGACCCGATCCGTCCAAGGTGCACGGGTCGATGAAATTGTGAGGAAAGTACTTGCAGGTGGCTGACAAAAGCGAGGAATAGTGTGGGGGCCATAAATGGTGTAGGTGGGGCCACATTATGGGCCCCAAAAGGGTTGAATAATTCTGCCGAAGTGTTGGCTAATTCGTTTTGTCTCCATGGAACAGTCAACTTAGGGGGCTTTGGGGGGAAGGAATCTGACGTGGACAATGTGGAATCTTTCTAAAGTGGTTTGGAGTCCAGCATTAGGCTACTTTCTAATGTTGATGTGGATATGGGATGCTTTGTTTTTGGAATTGGGAGACAATTAGGGTTCGTTCACTGGGTTTTGATTCTGCTGCACACATTTGTTGGTACGTTTGTTACACTCGTTATTTATTTGATTGATCGATTGTTTATGAAACACCTGACAATGTATGCACATCTGTAAAAACATTCCTAAATCATTCACAAGTAAAATAAAATCCCCAATTGAAATTTAGGAATGTTCATTGTGATTCTTTTTGCAAGCTGTGTATTTTATTTTTTTGTTTTGTTTTGTTTTGTTTTGTTTTTTTTTTTCAGTATTTAGTTTAAAAACTAACTATCATATCATTGATTTTTACATTGTCATCAATATTTCTATATATCTCGAGAGAGAGAGAGAGAGAGTAGCAATAGTAAAAGATGTGGTGGCATTAGCAATACCCTATGTAAATAGAATAAAGTTGTTGCAATTGTTTTTTCAAATCAAGTCCCACACCATCAAATTTATTGTGCATATTAATATAGGCTCTTATATGACAATATTAGGTCTTTTTGCAATTGTTATATATGTGTATATATATATATATATATATATATAGAATAAAATTTTAAAACCCATGTAAATGTGTATTTTAAAAATTATATATATATATATATATATATATATATATAAACTTTTTTACTTAGAATAAAAAGTTTTACAATTTTTTCATACATGCTATCTAAAAAAATTCAGAAATATATCAATGTTATAACTTTATATGATGTATATTCACAAGTATTTGAAAGAATAATTTGTCTTTTATACATAATAGAATTTTATTAAAAATTTACATTAAATGATACCATTTTAGAATATAATAATCTGTATTTATTTTATTAAAATATCAAGTGCATCCTCTTGTCAAATTGTTAATGATGCATTTTGAGACTTAAAGATCAAGAACAATTTTAAAAATAGATTAAAGAGTTACTAAGAAACACTGATGATAATAAAAGTTGGTTATTGATGAGATATCAGTAGGATTAGGAATTCAATAAAAATAAATAAATAAATAAATGAAAATTAAAATTAAAAAAGAGTTGACTCTCAATATTGTATATTCATTTACTACTAAAAAAGAGTTTTTACAAGACTATGTCTAAAGTATAATTTTTTTACATATACTACAAAAAGAAGTTTCTTAATAATGCGAATATCTTTCTTTCAAAAAATTTATTATAATTTATTCTATGAAAAATTATAAAATTATAATGGATTATAATTGGTGTAATAACATTGCTAAAAACCACATTTAGGTTATAAGATGATCATGTACTCTATTTGAAACTCAGATACACTTTACACTATGTAACAAGTCTTCATCAAATCATTTTGCTATATTAATAAATAAAAATCTCTTTAGCTACCACATAAAAATAATGCAAAAGTAAAAACATTAAATAAGTTATAAATTTGTACATGTATAATATACATGTAATTGATATTATATATATATTGTAGTAGTTGTTCTACCAAAATTATATATATAACCTTTTACATTACCTTCTTACAAATTCTATATATTATAGAATTTTATTAGAATTTTTTTTAAAAAAACCTAAAATACTAGTTTTTAGTTTTAAAAACACAATAAAACAAAGTTCAAATCATTTTTATTCTTTTTAATTTATTACGTTATGACAAATAAATTTATAATTTTTTATTTTGTAAATTATGTTTATCACTATTTGACAACGATAGTGATAATATATATTGATCTTATTTTAAACCTAATAATTTTAAATTTTAAATAGTTATTTGCATCTTATGGCATAAAAACTATTTTACTTAAACCCTAGAAAAAAGTAAAATTAATATCTTTAGTATCAAAATATATATATATATATATATATATATATATATATTTATCAATATCAAATATAAAATTCTTTTATAACGATTATTTAAAATAAAATTTACTATGTTGTGATATCAAAATTTTCCTTAAAAAATATAAAAAAACATGAAACACTTAGACATACTTATCATTATTTTTTGTGCTAGTTTCTATTTTTTCAATATATACATCTATATAAATATATATATATTTATATATTTTAAATTTGAACTAAAGGAGTAGAAGTCAAATTAAGTATTTTTTAAACATGTTCTAACCATTGCAATAATAATTTCAAGTTTTGAATCCATTACATTATGTGATTAATCAAATAATATATTTAAGCCTATATTATTTTTAAAAAGCTGTAGAAAAAGAATTTAATCAATTTTTTTTGTAATATTTTGGCCTTATAATTAATGCTTAAGATTTGGCTGATAACAATTATTGTCAAACATTGAAGCATTATAATTGTTAAATCATTCCAACAGTGAAAAAGTTGTCCAACTCCTGGGATCAATTTATGATGCAAGCAATTTCTACAATTTAAGCTACACATTAATGTGATCCAAAGTATTGATCCAAAGCTTTGTTTTTAACGTTTTACAACTACTGCAACTACAGCATCCCAGTAGTAAATTTTGCCAACTTGAATCAAACTGTAGACACCAAATTCATTCATGTGAAGATAAGCAGCAAAACCACGAACCATGTTCGTTCGTTATGAATTTACGCAGTGAGACAAAGTGAACCCAGTGAAACTTTCACAAGCCATGGCATGGATTTTATCTGATTGTGCGTGAATTCCTCAACACAAACAATAGCAAAAGAGCGACAGAGTTGGTGTGCGAAGTGATGGGGAGCAGATTCGGAGCAGGGAATGTGTCGATGGTGGTGAGAGGATTTGCACATCAGCGCAAAGCATTCCGCTGGATTTGTGTTGCAAAAACAGGCGGGGACGAAACCCACTCCACCATCTCCAGAAACGAAGAATGCGCCGCAGTCGTGCACGAGAAAAAAGTCCGCTGAAACAGAACCGGATGCAATGCGAGAGAGATATCGACAATGCTAGAAAACGCGATCAGGAGGCGGGGTGGCAAGGGTGGATTTGGCACATGCAGCGATGGATCTCGTCTTCTTCGCCCGCCACGGCTGTCCACCAGTGGATTGAAATATTCGCCCCCACCCACCCACCCCAACGTCCCCTAGTGCACAGCTTGGTCTGTCAGCTTGTGTGCATCGATCGATGTGCAGTTCAATCGATTCGGAGGGAGGTCCGGGAATCGAAGAACAGACCAAACTTCTGGTTGCGGCTCTGTGGGGGAGGGTGAGCCTTGGAGCGGGTAAAAGGGGCTTCGCTTTCTGTTGTGAAATCCAGCCTGCTCATATACAAAGCGCCTGCAACGCTGGGGTGGACACTAGCGTGGTGCGCGTCGACTAGAAATGAGTTGAGCTCGATTTGTGGGTTCGAGGTTGAAGGTTTGGGTGCAGAGCTTAGGTCGTGTAGCAATCATGCCTGGGTTCGTCGCGCACAGGCCCGCGGGCCAGTTTGGGAAGCGGTTGACGATTCTGAGTGTGGATGGTGGAGGCGTGCGAGGGCTGATCTCGGCCACGGTTCTGGCCGAGCTCGAGGGACAGCTTCAGGTGGGTGCAATCATATGCTAGTCCACGCTCGGATAGAAGATTTCGTAAGGATTGCGATTAGGACAGAGAATTGGGAGTGACTATTCGAAGATTGCGTCACGGAAATGTTGGCCAATGGGTGGTGTTATCCTCTACTAAATGCTAATCCTCATCACTGTAGTCGGCCCACAGCCGGGTTTCTAAGACTAACGCAAGTGATACCACACTAGAATGCTGTCATTTGCCGTGGGTGGTCTGTAACGGAGATCATTAGTAACTCGCCTCCATCTTTCATGTAACAGCTTGCAAATACGGAGTAGTTAGAAACACTCTGAACCCGAACTTCAATGTAATTCTAGTAGAATTATAGACCATAGATTGAAATATGGGTGTACTGTACCTGCGTCGTTGTGTTGTTTCAACACTGCTCTAGATCTGTCATCTTTAGGCGCAATGTAGTCGCTGAATTTCTCACCGTAGTAATTTAGCTGAACTTCAATATAGTGATCGCTGTCGGGAGGAAATGTTCGGTGTCAATTTCTACTTTGAAACTGTTCGCGGTGTCCTCGACACGAAATGACATCGTCGTTCGTGTTGCCGTCCTGATCGTGTCGACTAGGCGAGGTTGATTTCACTCTCGTAACTACCTCATCAAAGCCAGTTGGTCGAGTTTCTTTGATCGACATCTTGTTCTGGTGGTAATCTTGCTCTGAAATGTGATCCTACGTGGCCACCTCAAACGGAAAGTGGAATAGCTTGCACGAGCCTTCTCAACCAGAAACCTTAGTCAAACCCACAACTCTCCGAAGTAGTATGCGCTTAACTTTTGTCTCACAATTGCGTTGTCTCTGCTTTGGACCCAGAGATTGGATGGGCCAGAGGCTCGCCTGGTTGACTATTTCGACGTCATCTCGGGTACCAACTTTGGCGGCCTTATTACTTCTATGATCTCGTCCCCTAGAGCTGAGGGCTCTAACCGGCCCTTATTCACGGCCAGAGAAGTCGTCCAGTTCTTCCAGACGCATGCATACGAGATCTTTCCTCAAGGCAGGTATGTATCACTCGATCAGAAGTGTTGTCAACTTTAATGTCAGTTGAGCCTTTGCACATACAGGCGAGACATTTTTCATGTTTAAACCGGCAAAGAAATGCTGTTGCTGAGCCTGTGACGTGAGGTGTGCGTACACAGGGACCCATCTGGACAGACAAGGAGGAACTTCATGGCCTTGAAAGGGCCCAAGTACTTTTCACGAGGGTTGCGGCATTTGCTGGACCAAGTCTTTGAGAGTGACCCCCTTCTTGACCGGGCGCTCACATCCGTCATTATCCCTGCGTTTGATACGAAACTCCAACAACCGATCTTATTCTCATCGTGGCAGGTAAGCTTGCTCACATTGCGTTCATTTCGTTGTAATGTGAAAGCTGAATTACAAAGCTCGATGTTCTGTAAACCCAATTAATACTTAACTGGATTGAGACTATGCGACTATTAGGGTTTGGCCAAAGTGAGTCTAGACCGTGGAATTTTTGTGAGCAGGCGCGGAGGGACCCTCTCGAAAATCCTCCTATCAAAACAGTTTGCTGTGGTACAACTGCAGTGCCAACGCACTTCCCACCAATCCATTTTACTCTGACCGATACCTCCAGAGAGCCCAATCAAACGCGCGAGTTCAACTTGATCAACGGCGAAGTTGCTGTACACAATCCGGTGCGCTTCGTCTTGTGCGTCTGATGTTATTGCATGAGAGCATTTTTGGCAAGTTGTATTGGATTCCACGATGAAAACATTATACCGTTAGGGACCTTTCATCCTCAATCATTGTGATATTGACACGGATTTCTCTCTCGGTGGAACAGGCATATGTTGCCATTGCGCAGGCAATCAAGGAGTCGCACGCCGACGGGACTGTGGCTAAAAGAGTAGATTGTTCGGTGAGGGCTGTATGCGCTTGGCGTCGTTTGCATAATTCTTCATTCGGCATCTGATTTGTGTCAGGAAAACCTGTGAGCGTGGAAGTACAATTTTGACGTGCTGGTTGCTTGGGGGAATTCTGCAGAACTTGAACAATATTTTGGTTCTCTCCCTCGGAACAGGACAGCACACAATGGGCTATGACGCCACAAATGTAGCAAAGTGGGGAACCGTGGAATGGTTGGACAACAATGGCGAGGCGCGCTTGGTTGATACGGTGTTCAACGCTAAGGGAGATATGGTGGACTACAGCCTCTCCATTCTGTTCCAATCACAGCATTGCGCATCCAATTACCTCCGAATTCAGGTTGATTATCTTCATTTGGGCCTACGATGTGAACTAGCTTTAGATGGAGTTGGATTCTTACAGTTGTTAGTTTGGCATCTTTGTGACGTGAGCTCATTCTGGAGAATTAAGCTTGGTAGAAAGACTGAAGTTTGGTGAGCTGGGCAGGCAGACAACTTGAACGGTCCCCTTGCATCCTTGAACGATACATCGGAGTCAAATCTGCGGAACCTCACAGCAGCCGCGAATCGACTTCTGGATGAGCCAGCATCCGATCGGGATTATCAAACTGGAAAGGTCCACCCTGATCTATGTAAAACGAATCGGGAGGCACTCAAAAGGTATTACATCTCTGTATCCCTCTTGCAGGAAAGCTCCAACAACAATGTTTGTTCTTGCACGGATTCAAGAAATCTTTGCAAAACGTCGCATAGTGGATCGGGATTGAAAATCACACTCCCATCTGTAATGGATCTTGTCAGGTTTGCCGGGTGGTTGTCAGCAGAGCGCAACACTCGCTTTGCAGCTGAACCTCCACCAGCTCCGGTAAAGCGAGCGCCTCCCCCAGTTGTCATGGAGAGTCCTCTAGAAGCAGCTAGGCCCCAAACCGCAGAAGAAAAACCTTCAGAAGAGCTGGCTGCCCCAGCGGCAGAGGAGATCAAACCTAAACCTCCAGTTGCTGCTGCAACAGAGGGTCAAGTCCTAGCTCCGAAAGTCAAATCGAAGCCTATTGATGAAGGCATCACTGTAACCAAGAAAGAGAGGAAAGCAAACGCCTATGTCATTTTCCCATATGTCCCAAGGGCGGCATACTTTGACGAAAGTGTCAATACCCAGAGGGTGAATACCTCCTACGTCCCTTACAGCGAACCAGCTTACAGAGCTACGTATTCCAATGACCACACCAGCTCCTACAACTCTGGTCGCCGCACCTCCCACAACCCCACCTCGCGCAATCCCTCGTCTCGCAACTCCTCCTACAGCTCCTCGTCTTACGACACTTCGAACCGTGTTCCCTCGTACATACCGTCGCTGTTCGATGACACATACCGGAGGTCACCCTACCGCCCGGTCTCAGACGACCACACTTACTCCACCTCGTATCCTGACTCCAGCTACGAGACTCCATTCTCTTCATACTCCAGACCTTCTTCGTATGGATACTCTCAAGCGCATCAATCCTACGGTGGCTCCTCCTCCTCCTCGCATACCTCCTCGCGCGGCTCCCACTCCCTCGATCCCAGGTACGACAGCAGCGCGTACCGACCATCGTATGCTCCCAATACCGCAGTGACAGCCTCCGCATGTGAGAGACCCAGCTACGAGTCGAAGTCCACCTCGTTTGCTGCGACTCCGGAGCCGACGCAGCGTGCTTCCTATGGGAACACGCACTCTTCTTCTTCTTCGTCTTATTCCTTGCCGCCTTACCGAAACTCCTCCTGGGCTGGGACTGATGCTAGCGGGTCGCGTGCTGTCCCGGATCTCTTCCGCTTCTTTTCCTGAAGCTGTGAGCGTACTGGTTGCTGTATTATGAGTACTGTAACTCACCCATGTGTGGTATACATTAATGTTACGATGAGTGGTGGTTTTGTAACACTGTGCAGTCTGACTACATCGTGCTTGTATTCTGGCTTTCCCTTCTTCTTCCTTCGTAGTTTGCGAGGAGTGTCATGAGGCATGAGGCTACATTTCATCAGTGAGTTTCCGCCCGTTTTTGAAGTGGTGGTGGTTCAGGAACGAGTGCGTTCTGATTCTGAGCTTGCAAACTGGGTTCTGTTCAAAGCTTTGGGTTCATTTGCAGTGGTGTTGTTGTTTTCTGTTTGGTCTGTTATGCACAGCAACATTGATGCCCCAAACTTTGCACAAATGTATTTGAAGACTTTGTTGAAGAAAGCCAAAGATATGTCGCAAAAGTTTTGTGCCCGTGCTTAGGATTGAACAAGTCAACACAAGAGTAGCAAAATTAGTAAAGACAAAAAGTATTCACTTGTGGGATTCCGTGTTCCAAGTTGCATGTTTGGATCATGTTTTCTTCTGGGGGATATTATTTCCCTCAAGGATGTATACGTTTGACTACGGTGATTAAAGAAACATTAAAAAACTGTTCAAGGAGCACCGGAATCATGCTATGCAATCCTTTTTTCTTCTAGTTTCTACTCTAACTAAATTCACTAAGCAATTTCATGAGAGCATAGTGAAGTTTGGATTTGTTTTATTGGTGATTTTTTCTTTGTTTTTCATTTTTTACCCTTGACTGTTGGCATATTGTGTTATTTTGACTATATAAGAATTATCATTATGCTGAATTTAATATGAAAGAAAGTTGGCATTATTGTTGTTTAATGCTTGGGTTAATATTAATAAAGAATATATACTTGGTGGTTCAATATTTAAAAGTAAACTCTTTTTTGGAATTGATTCCAAATTTTTAGAAAAAGAAATATAATTTTCTTAAGGAAAAAAAAATGATATATAATCAATATATATATATATATATATATATATATATAAATATATATAATAAATAAAAAATAGAAGATAAAGTTTTGTTCATTAGTATTAAATTACTTTGTAGAGTTTTATGTAGGATGTTTATCATTTTTATTTTATTGTGCACCAATGAAACAAGGCTTTATTAACTATTTTTCTTGTGGAAAAATCAAAATAAAATAAAATGTCACTTACTATCAAAAGAAACTTGAATCTTCTATTTTATTATGTCAATTTTGCATGATTACATAAGAAATTTTGAATCAATTCCAAAAACTATGATACAAACAAGTATGAAAATAATTCTAAATTTTAGGATCTATTCATTAAATAATTGAAAAAGTAGTTAAGAGTAGTACTAAAATGTTTTACCACCAAATACATATTATCTATTATCTTTTATATTATATATACATATATATATATATATATATATATATATATATACGTGAATCCTTGTGTTTTTACAATTAATATATAAAAATTTTGAAAAATCAATTACAATTCACAAGTAAAAGAACATGCACTTACAAACATTCTTTATATCTTTTTAAAAATAAGTTTAAACCTTTTTACAAATAATTCTTTGTAACATTTAAAATTATTATATACAAATGATCATAATCATAAATTTAATAAAAATAGGTTTATTTTTTTAAATAAATAGTTTTAAAATGCAGACTTTCACAAATTTCTCATATAATCAATATTTATAAAAATTTAAATTCATTTGGAAGAACGATATTTTCTATAATTTAATAGTAATAAATAAATAAATATAATTCTAAATATTAAAAAATAAAAATTTAGAAAAAAATTTAATTTTTTTATAAAATTAAAACATATAATCTAAAAATTTGTAATTTAAATTTTATTTAATTAATACAAAAAAATATTCATAGATGTGGTTTCACCTTTTAGTATTATATAGTTGTTAATGTTATTATGTATATTTACATATTTATATAGAAAAATGTTAAAATGATCCACCCTATTGATGATCTAGTAATAATTAAAAAAATTAATTATCTCCAAAAATTATCATTAGAATCATGGGCCTCATTTCCACCCCCCTTGTTTCCATCCCCCCCTTCCCCCTCCCTTTGTTTCTAGCCTTCTTCATCCTAACCCCCTTCATTCCCCCTTGTTCCTTGCAACTTCTAGTACTTTAGCTCAAAAAATAAGAAGGATTTTAGTTTTTTAACTAAATTATATATTAAAAAATGATAATTATTGTCTCAATTTTTTTTTCATATTATCCAAGTACTTAATTAGTGTACTTTAAAGGAGTTACCAATGTAATTTTATTTTTATATTGCACAATTTGAAAACCACATAAGATTAAATCCAATTATATTTAAATCCAATTATAATTTATTTTAGTAAAAAGTACCAAACTAAAAGATAATATTTGGTTCTAATAAGGACTTGAACGAATATGTAATTTATTCTAAATCAATTCTAATTACACAAATACTTATTCTTAAAAATATGAACCCTAAGAACACAAGAAATCCCATTCTTGATATATATATATATATATATATATAGGTACATATCTAATGATTCTTCTTTAAAACATTTTCAGTGAACAAGGTGTAAAAGTTTCACAAATATTGTGTCTTTCGGATAAGTAGAAATTGGTCAAAACAAAAGCTTCTGGGAGACCCTAATCTTGCCTTCTGACACAGCAAATGGGGCCTTACTAGAGCCTATATTTTCCAAATCCTTGCATAGCAACCAGATAAACCCTCACCATGTGAAGACTCTCAAGGTAGCTGAAACCTCCCTCCAAAGACTACACCACAAATCCAGCAGGTGGGTTCATCACAAGGTCACTAAAAATCACAACATACAATCAACCAAAATATATATATATATATATATATAGTCAGATAGATAGATGGATGGATGTACTCATGTTTTATATGTATATATAAATATATATAGGTACTCATGTAACAGTTTTGTACCACCTAGGAAGTCGATCATGTGGCACCAATTATACACAACAGTGCAATGCAGCGTACACATTAAGCATGGCATTTGACCCCGAGGGGCAGAATAATAATCAGCCTGTGCAGAAGGGAGGGGAGCTGCTTCCAAGGCAGTGCAGAAAAATTGCCCAGATTGTGAGGGGGCCCAGGTTCTGTGCCACTCAATGTCAGATGATGAGGAAGAGAAAGATCCTCCTCTTCCCACAAACATGCACACTCCTCCATGCTTGTTTGTGGGTTTCTATATCTACCCCTGGTTGTAGTAGTGGTGGTGGTGGTGAGGGCGTACAACAACAGGAAGCAAGATTCAACACCATGGCGTCTGTGCCTGTGCCTTTGCCAGTCCCCGAGCTGAGTTAAGCTGACGCCAATGTTGTCTTCGTGCGTCAGCCACTGCAGTTGGAAAAAGTCCACAAATCATTTGCCCAGTGGAGTGGAAAGCTGGGAAACAAGGGGAGAGGATCCCACAAGTATCCAGAAAAAAAAAACCATAAAGAATGGAGTGCAATAAGCTGTGCTTTTTGCAGAGGCTGATTGAGAGCTAGGGGGAGATAATGCTAGACCTGTCTGACTCCTGATGAACATGTGCTGCAGCTTAAGTACAGATATTTCAGCCACAGAGCTAATAAAATTTTAACAGTAATACAGTTCACAAGAGTGTGTTTTGTTTTTTCTATGTTCTTACGTCGGGGACTGGTGTGTCTGCTCTTGTTCAGCGTCTCATGTTACGCTACCTATTTGCTGCAACGTTTCTGTTCTGTCGCCCTAGTTTCTATTTTTTGTTTTATTGTTTTTTTTTTTGGATTTTCGAGCCTCGCCGATCGCAACCACGCTGATCTCAGCTGGTTTGCGAACCCTTGCCCAATGAGGGCAGATCGTTGACGAGGTGCAATGTGGGTGGCCTTTGACAATTTTGGTAAGAAACTCCATGAACAAGTATACTAATCCTGACGCCTCAAGTCCACGCCGTGACAACATTGCCACGCTTGAATACATACTGAGGGCGTGTTTCCAGGTCGGACCTTGAACAGCCTTAAGGCAAAACGGATTTCGTTGGCAAAACTGTTGTCACTGATACCTTCTGCAGGTGACGCTTGTCGGTGCTCATTGAATGTCGTTAAGCCGTTTGTCGATGTCAGGCCTCCATGAAGCTTGCGCTCAAGTCGCTGCTAACATTCTCGTTTGCCTTACTGCACTGGCTGCTGTCAGTTGTGTTGATCCACCGAAGAGAAAGTAGTAGGATATCTTAGCACTACATGCGAGCATCAACAAGTCGATTCTTGAACGTGACTCCAAGCAATTGCAGCAAGGGACGTGCGGTGCGAATTTCGGTAACCATATGATACAGCTGGCTGTACACCATGGCAAATATTACAAACTTGAAGAGAGGAGATGAGTATTCAGAGGTAGAACCAACAAAATTGTGCACTGAGCCTTGGCTAGATGGTCAGGAGAGATCTCGATGCAAGAAGATTTTCACTTGAAGATTTGCAAACTGCAGAGGAAGAAAATTGTATGTAAATGTATTTCACTGCAAGAGAAAAAATCACCATCGACATAGAAAGATTCCGTGCTCAATCAGGAGCGCGACTTAGTGAGCTGTTTACAACGACCCGCTGATGTAGCAAGGATCTCCGATGACACAATGTGTTCCCCGGGTGTTCTGGAATCGAGAGGTCACCGCCAGATGAAGCACAATCTGGAGTTAAAGTTACAGGTCGTTGTGCCAAAGATGCCTTCGTCAAGCATTTACTACCTAATCCTTATGTGGTTAGTAAGGGTGGTGGTTGTTGTTTTGCGGACAGGGCAATGCATCCTCATGTGGGTCTTGAAGCCGTCTTTTTCGCTCATTCGTGAATGCTTAAGAAGATACCTTAGCGAAGCACTTTTTGGTAAGACATTGTCAGCGCATTCGAGAACCCAAGACACAGATCATGCGAGGGAGAAAATGACAAGGTTGATCGGCAGCTTGAGCTGGGTTGAAGAAGAGGCTGCGGATCAGTTGCTGGAGACGACATCCCTGTTGTTGCCAATAGTGCTACGAGATCGCGTGCAGATTTGTGAGGAGAACTTGGCAATCGAAGACAGGCTTGTTCTGAACTCTTCTCCATCTCAATTCTCAAACTCTTGCTTGATTGATTTGCAAAATGATGGCGCTCTGCATGCTCATTAGAAAGGTTCGAAATGTGTATACAGAGAAAAAAATTATGTATGATTTAACGGAGTAGTAAACTGGATGTGCAGGGAGAGATTGCTATACGAGTTCGAGAAAATTGTTGCCCCCCAAGTATCTTCTTTCCAGCTCGGCGAGATCGTCGTCCCCATCAATGACACCCTACAATTAGCGACGTTTCTCAAGCTGAAGTTGGGCCAGACGTGCAAGTCTCAATCCACGGAGGACATCAATGCTACCGTTTGCGGCGCTATCCTCAACATCCAGTCCAATGGTGCCATCAGCAACTGCGTGGAGTCTTGGTCCCAAAATCATGACAAAATCGTGTACTTTGTGGTGTACATTGCGGCTCGGCTGCAAGGTGACAACAAGATCCATCTTGTTTTTGTTGGCCGCAAAGTGGAAGACATCATCGGTTCCAGCGAGTTTCGAAACCGGTTCAACCCTCCACGCACAAGAGGTGACGAGGAAGAATGGCTAACATGGACTCTCACTCATATAGGTTCACTCCGAACGAGTGCGGTCCAAACTGCAGAAGAGCTTCTCTTCTCAGACCCTGTCCATGCTCAAGTCTGGTAGCATCCTTCGGCCGCAGGAAATCCTAATCTTTAATTCGAAATTATCCTCCATGTACAGAATGTGACTGGCGTTCTAAATACACGAGAAATTTTGGAATAGCAGTTTTGATGTCTTTGCTTTGAGAAACATTGCAATGGTAACTGAGAGTCTCGTAACCAAAAAATGTATTCTCATTAGCCCATTATGCTTAGATCCATGGCAGGCACATGGATACTTTCTCATGACTTAAGTGAATGCTAGCACACAACGGCTGCAGGTACAGTGATTCCATCTCTAAATTATGAACCTATCACTTACCACCGCAACTCCTTCCAGACACAAATACTGGATCAGCATGAGAGTCTTTCGTTATGACCAGCTTGTGTTTAGCTTTCTAGAACACGCTAAAATACAAATTAATTTCACATTCTACTTTTAGTCATCATTAATGAAGAGGCTAGGCTATCTGATCCATCTCTCCGACTGGTCCGAACTGGAAATTGATACTCAATGCCTAAAACATATTTTCGATTTGGAATTTAACAAGGCAGTTTTAGTAGATGTCTGGGACCGCCATGATTTTGATGAGGGAGGCATTCCCTAAGCGATGCAGAGCTACCACCGAATCCCCAGCCTTACAAAGATTTCTACTCACAGCATACTCTAGGGCGGCATTCAATATTTCATCACTCGAGTCAGCGTCTGTTGCCTTCACTGAGCCTTCTGCCAACAACGGAACCAAGCCCCTGCATGAAACATCATCCGTCTTAAGCCTCCAGCATCCCAACCAAGGAAGTGTCTAGATATGCTGCATTAATCTTTATAGGGGAGTTGGAATAAGTCCAGAACCTGCAGATTAGGCTATGGTGGGCTGGTGACTCTTCGCTGATCGTCCATTCAATGCTATCAGTTGTCATGACGGGGATTGCCACGGATAGAATAGGAACCTTGGGTCTGTATTTAGCCACCAATCTGGCAGTGGTCCCCCCACGAGTTAGTACCACAATTAAGGATGCACAAATCTTGTTGGCTGTTCGAACAGCAGAAGATGCTAAACTTTCAAGAGGACTCATTGGTACAGGAGCATTTCGACAAAGGTCTTTGAACAGTGTTGCATAATCGATGGCCATTTCAGCTTCCCGACAGATTCTGGCCATGATTCCCACAGCAACGTCAGGGTTGATGCCATTTGCAGTTTCACCACTAAGCATGACAGCATCCGTGCCATCCAGAACAGCATTGGCAACATCTGTTGCTTCTGCTCGAGTTGGTCGGGGGGATTTGATCATGGACTCCAACATTTGGGTGGCTGTCACTACAGGTTTCCCTTTCCCGTTGCACTTGTCTATCATCATTTTCTGTGCTAAGAAAATTTTCTCTGTGGGTATTTCCATTCCTAAGTCTCCTCTTGCGACCATGATTGCATCGGTCTCGCGCAGGATGTCGTCGAAGTTCTGAAGTCCCTCTTGGTTTTCCACCTACATCCACAACATTGTTTGAAAAATGTTTGGCAGCGCAGGATTGGACACCACCAAAGTTAGGTTCAATAGCACATAGCTAGAAAAATTTAGTTTAAAACCTTTGAGATGATGTGAATAGTTTTTGATGCTCTTCCAAGTATCTCCTTGACTCTGATAACATCGATTCCTTTCCGCACAAATGATGCAGCTATGAAATCGATCCGGTTTGGGATGCCCCATATGGTAATATCCTCAATATCTCGCTGCGTGAAGGTAGGAAGGTCGACGATAACCCCGGGCAAATTCACATTCTTGTGTTCACCCAAACTTGCCGTGTTCTCACACCTACACTTCACTTTCCCACCTGCTGTATCGCACTCCAGCACAAGGAGGCTAATGGTACCGTCCGAGCACAAGATCAAGTTCCCTGGCTTTACATCCTGAGCAAGTTTTGGGTAGCTCATGGCGATCATTGTATTGTCACCTTCATGCTTGTAGTCTGTCGTGATCATAATCTCCTGACCTCGTATGAGTTTAATAACTTGTCCTTCCTTCAGGGTCCCTGTTCGGATCTCAGGACCCTATCTCCCAACCCATGAACATAAAATAAGTGATACGAGGCCACGATTCAAAGAATACGAGCAATTAAAATACGGATAAAGTATTCTTGACGTAATTATAACCCTAAACAAACTCATCACCTCATCACATGCAGTGCATCACAAGCTGATGTTTCATACTAGAAGGTGAACACAAAGTCCACGCAATCAAAATCCATTCTCATTACTATCATTGCTCATTCGTAGGTTTTACTTGCCACATCACGTTTGCTGGAACATTTAACAACCCAACTATCATCTGCAAAGCTCTTTTCATATGAAGAGTAGAGTTCGTGGTTTTGTAACCTTGGTGTCGAGTAGGACACCGCACATTATTTGAGTGTTGTACATTGCCTGCTTGAGAGCGTCAAGTGTCCCGGAATGATACTCGTAAGTTCCGTGAGAGAAGTTGAATCGCGCAACATTCATTCCGGCTCGAAGCAGCTTCTCTAACATTGGAACATCCCTGGATTTCGGCCCCAACGTGCATATTATCTTGGTTTTCGAGAAACCCTGTATGGGTTTGTCTAGGCTTCCAAGAATGCCCTTTATGTCCAGTTTTTCATACACAGCCATTGTGGCAGCACTCCTAACTGCTGCGAGTTAAGTTTTATCTACTTTTGGTCTGCACTGCCACAATCAATCGATTGGCGAGGTCAATCAATCAATTGTCTACAATTGTCCCTAAAGACTCTGCTGGACACCTCACGAACATTGCCTACCAGGTACGCAAGAAAGACAAGCCGAAATTCTAATTTTTACAGCTTTTATTAGGGGAAACTCTTCTCCCTCTCCAGAAGTATCGTTTAAAGAATCAAATGCAGGTACGCACAAGCCGTACTTCAACGCCACACTCAGAACCTGCCCTGGAAAGAGATTAACCTTCGTTGTGGCGTCGCTGAGTGCAACCGGGTTCCGAAGGTCAAGAGGCAACATCAAAACCCCTACCAGAAGATCGTGGGATTATAAACCCTAATTTATTTTCTTTTTACATATTATCGCTCTGGACACAGCTATGAAAAGCAACACGCTCACGAGTTCATTGTTTAGGGCTGACTTGCACATCCATTGCAACACCGATCTGATTCCAATCAGCCGCCTCTAAAGATCTTACAAATTAGTCTCCAGCAATCTTGACACATTCGATATACCATACCGACACCCTCAAGAATCTCCAGCCTGTTTGCGTATTGCGTGTCTCTTTGGAACCTGATATCAATAAAATCGCGTCAATGCACGCAAATGAGACAGATCTGCATTGGGCGAAATTGAAGCATTGATCATCATCTCGTCAGAGGCAGGAGGACCATGTACTGGGACGAGATTATCAATCATTTCATTGAAATGCCAGACAGATCTTCACGTTGCTACAAAGGGTAGTTTCATGATAGAGAAAGAAGCACCTGTCCAGCAAAACAGGAAACATGTGAAGGATTTGGTGAAGAGCGATTAAGACCAAGAGTGTATGTTACGGACTCAGATCCAGATGGTTTCTTGGGGTGCTTACTACAGAATGGTTCACTTACTAAAAATGTACAGTCATCTGAACTAATTATGCATATAGTTGAAGATGGATCTTTAGAGTGAAGCATGGAACTTAGTAATAAACATAACATTTCAAATGACGGGCCCTGTGGCAAATTCGCTATTTGCCAAATAGCCTCATCAATGACATGGGTACAAGCCATGACCACGTACAATGAGATCATGCCGTCTTTAACATTGCGGCTAGCCAATTTCACCAATCATAATCGCCGTGGATCCCTCACATACGGACGTCGTAGTTGCATCAGCAACAATCACAACAGAAAGCCTGGCTTAACATATCAATTATGCATGCTGTACAGTTCATATACGATATTAGGATTCTGATTCAAGCCCGTTGGATCAAGCTGTGAACACATTGGCACCCTTCTTGTATTTGTGTGTTCTACGACGAGCCATATTGAGCATGAATTCGAAGGCTAGGAAAATAAGCGGTGGTAGTAGTGAGGGCTTAGTAAAGCATGGCTGAAGGCCTTGGGCTTAATTTAAGTACCAATGGAGTTTCTGGTCGAATGTTGAGCCCATCCTTGCCTTCATTGGCATTGAGCTCAACTCCCGGCAAGGCTGACCATTCAAATGCATGAACGAAAGAGCCGATAGCCGCAGCCAAGACCCTCATAGCCACCGCGCGTCCAGGACAAATCCTGCATTACAAGGAGATGACACAATCGAATGCGAATGTAACAACACTAATGGATTCGATCTCATTTAAAAATAAAAATTGTAGGGGACTAAAATAAAAATAAAGGAATTTCAACTTTCAGGCAACATTTGCATTTACCTCCTTCCAGCTCCAAACGGCAGATACTCGTAATTTGTACCATTCACGTTCAAATCGCAGGCAAGGAACCTGTCTGGATTGAACGTTAATGCATCCTGTCCCCAAGTAGTAGGATCTCGGCTAATTGCCCAAAAATTTGCAAGTACTGTTGTCCGCGCAGGGAGGTGGTACCCTGCCAGTGTCGCTTCTTCCATATTGGAGTGAGGGATACCAAGAGTGGTAGGATTGTGCAGGCGCAGAACTTCCTTCGCCACAGCCTGTAAGAATGTCATCATCAAAGTTAATGGCCGCAAATAGAAACTAGGGAGGTTCAATTGAAGTCTGGGATACCAATTCCTCGGTCGCACTGAAATAAGCGCACATACGATTACCTGAAGGTACGGTAATTTAGTTAACTCATCTTCATCTACTGGTCGATTAGTGCCAAAAAATCCATCAATCTCGGCACTCAATCTTTCCATGCAATGCGGATGGCGAACAAGTTCCAAAAGCGTCCACTCCAAAACGGAAGCAATCGTATCTGATCCAGCTGTCAACAGTTCCTTCACCGCATGAGACAAATTTAAGCCGCCATTAGAGCCTTACTATTTCCAAAAGACTAGCATCAATCTTGCAACTATCTGTTACTGATGGTTTTCAGGACCCAAGGTTCTTCCTTGACAAAGAAATTTGGAAACCAGAGGAAATCAATTGCAACCAGCCACTCCTACTCCGAAATATTCATAGATGGAGAATCTTTTTTCAGCGATCTTACAAGAATTAACGACTTAACGCAGGTCTTCGATAACTTCCCCTCTTCACTAAGACGAAGCAAAACCTCCACGAAGTCAAGTGTCGATTCATCATCTGATGAATGTTTTCGGTACCATTCTATAACCGGCCTAGTACACTCTTCTTTGAGAGCGCTCACTTCCTTCCATCTTGCATTGATGCCAAAAACATCAAATCTTTCTAAAACGAACTTTAGCATTGGGATCATGTCTAAGATTTGGTGCTCCCCAAGGAGCTTCGTATTTTCTGTTTCCATATTCCTGAACGCCTGGGGATGCAGGGCCCCAGGTCTCCAGGGAAGATTCTCAAAATTCAGAAAGGCTTTATTGAAGGTTGTCCGACAGCTGATGCGCAAGCTAAACTCACTGACAATTGGGCGAATCTCCACGGGCTCTTCGTCTCTTATCATCGTTTTAATTTTCCCAAACATCCGCTGAATCTCCTCCGCTCGTACGCTTTTTTTCATGTCAATTTTCCGCTGTGTAAATAACTCCGTTGTGCACAATTGACGCAAGTCGCGCACTTTAGGACCATACTCACTGATTGCCAGTGATACCTCTTCATCGGTACCATAATTCATGTACTTGTAAGCCGTACTCATAAGGTCATAAATCGGTCGGGATGCAAATTTCATGTCCTGCACAGAAAACAGCTCTCTGGCCATGTTTGCATCGGACACTATGACGACAGGAACGGCTCCAAAGTGAAGCCTCATGATGTTCCCATACTGTTTCGCCAGTTTAGCGAACGTTACGTGCGGGTGCTTCCCCACTAAGAAGAGGTTGCCAATCACTGGAAACGCGAAGGGACCTGGTGGCAATGTTTTCTTCTTTCCAACTCTTCTTGAATAGCCAAAAACGAGTAGTAGTAGAAGTAGCACAAATCCAACGACGACAGCGGTTCCATACGACATGGGCGGGAAACTATGACTCCAATCTGCAACCTCACGGCGCACCGTGAACACCATGTCCGCTAACTCATCCAACAAACTGCGAAACATGTAAAGGATAGACCGCGGGTTCGTCTCCATGCTCGGCTTTCCAAGCACAATCGAATGTAACGCATGAAACAAACCTGCGGAAGTTTATGTACTACCTTATTGAGTAACAACTAGTTGCTAGGGCGTCAAGAAGAGGAAATCACTAGTTCCACACGAAAAGCATGTGGATGTCGTACCACAGATCGAGTACACATCGATGCAGCAACAATTCTAATGCGCAGGCTACCCTATCCATGCAACAGTTGGTTGTGGAGACATTGCGACGTTGTTCGACAGCAAAGACACAAGTGGCGTGATCAATCTGGAGCTGCTATCTGGAGCTGCTATCTGGTGCTACAATTGTCAAAATCGGCGCCGCTATTCCATTAACAAAAGTTGCCGGACTAATTAATCTCACATGAATGAACACGAAAGTAAGTAAGAATTGTGAAGCTTTAGTGAGCGCCGTAGGGTTTGACTCCGTAGCGCTATGACCCGCACGAGGGCAACACCATGCTAATTAATATGAATGAAAACTGAGTTTATTCATGTTAAGTATTCTTCGTGTTCAGTGTTCTTCATGTTTAGTCTGTTTATTAGGGTTGCGGATAATGCTAGAAATGGTCGAAGAAGCAGCACATCAAAGTATGATTTGCTCCATGTCTCGATGTCATTGATGAAGTCATTCTTTGTCGAATAGTTTATTTTTAGAGACAAAGTTTTTTTGCTTGCATTCAACAAAATGTCTTATTTGATAACACGGGTTTCATGTGTTTTGTAGCATTATTTGTTGAGATAGTCATGTTCTAATTTGGTGGGTTTCATGTATTTTGTAGCATTATTTGTTGAGATAGTCATGTTCTAATTTGGTGGGTTTCATGTGTTTAGTAGCATTATTTGTTGAGATAGTCATGTTCTAATTTGGTGTTGAAGAATGGAAAATTAAGAACATTACTTTTGGAATTTTTGGAATTCTTTTGTTACATTGGGTTTTTATTCTTGTTGTCCCTTAATCATATGTTTCAAACATGTATCAAATATTGTCTTTGAAATAAAATTTAAATTTGTGTTAAAATAATCATATATTAATATTTATATAAAGAACTTTGGTACTACTTTAAAAAAGTGAAAAGATAAAGATGATTAAATTAATGTTATTTAGAGCATTTTAATGCACCAAGTTGAATACATGTCACAAATATACATATTTATCTTGATAATTATCTAAATAATAAGAATAAGTAGAAGTAAGTCAAAGGAAATAATATAATAATATCTTATGGAAAGCTTCTTAAAAGCTTCATAGACGTTGTTTTGCCTTTATACATGTATATAGGCAATTGATAAGTTGAAAACTTGGCCAACAAGGAGGCCACATGTCGACATGTTGACCACTTGTAGTACAAGTTGGACATATGGCACACACCTAGGAAACTTGCCTTACAAATAGACATGTGTCATGCAAGTTGGAAGCATATTAGAGGTCCTATAGCATGTTGCCAGGTATTTCTTAATTAAGTAGTATATATAGAGGCAAGAGTGAGGCCTTCCTCACTCCTAACTCTTTTCTTGCTTTTAGTCTAGTTTCAAGAGTCTTATGTTTTCTAATCTTTGGCAATAGCCATTCAAGTTCTTCCTTGAATATACATACTTTCTTTTATTTTGTTACTTTCTTTTTGACACAAATTCCATGAGTTTATGCATCTTCTTCTAGTTTGTGTCCTTGACAATACATTTTTCTAGTATTACTTTGCTAGTATTTCTTTGCTTCATTAAATTTGGACCACATATGTTTCAATCATAATAAAAAAGAAACTTTTTTACTTTTTTATAAAATAAAGTGCATATTAGTTTTTTTAATTATTGAAATTAGATATTAATTTTAAATATTAGACATATATATATATATATATATATATAAAGAAGTTAGATATTTTAAAGGTCTTCATGATTCCATAGCTAAAACAATACAACCAAATTAAAAATAAAAATTGACATTATTTAGTTACATGTAAATGAAAAGAGTCTTATTCAAACTATTTATTGCACGATAATAATTTTAAAATACATATTTGAATATACATGCAAGTAGAGAGAAATCTAACATATGTTCTTCTTTAAATATGTTTTTAGCACCGCAAACAAACAAACAAACAAACAAACAAACAAACAAACAAAAACAAAAAAAACAAAATGCACAACATATATTGTAAAGACCTACACTACTTAAATAAATAAAAATAGACAAAAAAAAAATAGAAGTACTTTTACAAATAGGTCTAATATTTTATTAAAAAAAAATAAGAAAAACAAAGATTTTATTTTTTCACTAGTTTGTTTATAGTTATGTCTTTAACAACAAATACATTTGCTTAGTAGAATTATTTTGAAGAAACCTCCTTAATTGAATGACATATTTAAAAGTATGATGTTCTCATGTTTAATGTTAAAAATATTAAAATTATAATAAAAATATTAAAATATTAAAATAAAATATAATAATTTTTAATTTTTAATTTAATTTAATATTAATATTAATTTTAATTTTCTAATTTGATAATAAATTATTAAAATATATATTAACTTGTAGATATTATTAAAATATTTCTATTTTTACCTTTTAAATAATATGAAGTTCAATCAAATATACATATTTAATTTTTTCTAATAAAATGCATAAAGATTATTTTTAAATAGCTTTTAATAATTATAAACAGTAAGTTTAACTGATGTACATTATTTCAATCTTTGAAAGTTGTTTTTGAAAATTAGGTACTTTCTATCTAAATGTTAATTATCTAGTTATATTTTATAATTGCAAAGTATATACTAAATAAATGATACATATATAATATTATGAATACAAATAAATAAAACTTAGATAATTGATTATATTATATAAGTAGATTAAAAAAATATTGATCTAAAGCCACATATTTAATTTCTTATGCCAAGTATCCAAATTTTAATCTTTATACTTTATAAATCTATTAAAGCGCAAATATTTTTTAACGCATGTTAACTTTGAAACTTATGTATTCTATTTGATATCCTACTAAAATAAGCATAAAAAATAAGTATACCATATGCACATTAAGAAATGTTTTTTGTTCTGAAATATAACTATGTGATTGCTAGTCAATTTTGAAAAGAAGAAGACTTCCCTTATCTTTTAATCATTATTATTTGATAATACTTTTACCACCAAATTTTTTCTCTTTTAGCTCCCACTATTTTGGTTTTTTTAAATGCTAAATCCTAAATCTAGAAGCTTACAACTTCTATTCAACTTATATTTTTGACCTTACAATTAACAATCCAATATTTATTACTCTTATGTATTATAATATTCTTAAATAATAGACATGATCCTCTTTTTGATTATTATTTTATGTACAATCTTCATTCTTTTTAAAAACTAGAGCAAATCCATATAATTCAAAAATAATTAAATTTTATTAATTCTTAAAAGTTTAATACTACTAAAATATAATCCTAATATCTTAGGGACTAGAGATGTACCAACTTATTTTCTAACAAATTTGATCAAACTAAAAAAAAAAAAAAAAAAAAAAAAAAAACACTTTGTTCTGCTACAAATTAAATTAGTTTAAATAAGTAACTAGTCTTCTTTCTTACACTTAATCCTTTCTTAGTATCTAATTAGTATCTAATTAGCCACTTAGTTCCTCAATTGCCCAAGTTGCATTGGAATAGTCACTGCCCATGATTTGTATGGGATGTGGGTTTCCATTTTATTTTTTATTTTTAAAATTTTAAATTTCATATATTTTTTCAACATTTTTTTTCTTTTATATCTTTGTCTGAGTGGTATATATCAAAAGAAGTGAATGTTAATATTTTCCTTGTACTGTTTTATTTTTATTTTTATTTACATAATCACGTGGCTTTTTTCTTTGTATCATCTACATTGAATTCTGGGTACATTTGTGGACCTCTTGTTCCAAACCCTAAATATTGAGCAAAGTCTGTTATCATGTGAAGTGCCATCTATGCCACCCACCATAATGCGTTGATGCAGAGTTATATCAATAATATCAAACAATTCGGCAGATTTTAGGATATGGAGTGCAGTTCTGGAGAGCTTGCCACGACCATATTTGCTTACAGTCTCAGTATTGCTTCACAAGCTGGAATCTGTCTGCCAGTAAGTGCACTGCCTCACTTTTGATGTCAATGGAAGTAGGGCTTCTGTGTACTGAATTCTTAATCACTTTTTGTGCTTTGATTAGTTGAGTCCACCATGGTGGTGATATGTCATCAGATGCTGTGGAACTTGATGTCTCTGCCATTCTCATCCTCAGTGGCTCTTCTCTTTCTGCTGTAGCATGCAATCTTGGTGCTTCTTTTAATTCTTCATGCACACATTTACATTTTGTTATTTTATTTTATTTTATTCTCGACATCTATTGTGACATGTGTGACTATGAGTAAATTCGTTTTGAGAAATGTGCTCATCTTGTCCACTGAACTACTGAAGAAGATGGCTAATGTTTTATGCTCCAAATAAATTTCAAGTTTTATGGTTAATTAGAAGTACGACAAACCATTAGCTAGATTTTATGGCTAACCATGCATGTCCAAAAGTCACAATGTTTTTGGGTTCAATAATTTGGAAAGTTGGATTCATTTTTCCACCATGTTTTTGCATAAATGGAACATGAATCATTGTAGTTGCTAGTAAGTAGGATAAGAAATTTTTGAATGAAACACACCACAATATCAGCAAGTTAATTATCATATTTTTGTCATGACATGGCATTAATCATTCATTCTATTGAATATAGCACAATATAATATAACTAGTGTGCTACACTTAAAGTTACACTTGTTGGATTAGGCATTATGATTCTTCATTTAATTTGATTGATCTCTTCCAATGATTTTTTAAGTACACTTAAACTCAGGTAATAAAAGTACTAAGTAAGATTAAAGACTTGTATCTTTGTACTTTGTGTGCAACATGAGATTATTTTTCAATTATCATGGTATCAAAACTTATTTCGTTCTTTAAAGTAAAGATTTGGTGAGCCATGCTTCTAACACAATGAGAAGTAATACTTAATATATACCTAGTGAGTAATACTTGCAAAAAGAATTAGATTTAGAAAATAATAATAAAAATGTATTTATTAAAAAGACCTTTAAATTGTTTGATAAACAAGTAAGAATTAATGCCAACCAATATGGCTATAGAAAGTCAATACAAGCCAATAAAGAATACATGAGAAATATTAAAGATATTAAGAATTAAGTAGGTGCTCTTAGATAATTTTTTAGTAATTCTATGCTAGTCCAACTAATGCTTAATAGAATTTTTTGAGCTTTGAAGCTCTAATTCAATCAATATCATCAACATATGTTCTATTTGAA